GTGTCGGAATTTCTGAATGTTAAGAATATCATGTAAGTTGAGCCACATATTTGACATCAGCATCTATGTTTCTGTACGTACGTACTTTAGGATGGCCTGCTTATATGTGGCTAGCAAAGTAGACGAGTTTAACGTTTCTTTGGACGATTTCGTTAAAAATTTAAAGACTGGCACGCGTGCTCACAATGCCGAAATAATTCTGTCGCTGGAACCGGACTTACTCAATCACCTGAAATATCACCTGGCTGTCTATACTCCGTACCGGCCACTGGAAGGTCATTTCATTGCGATGAAGGTAACTTTCGCTTCGATAGATTGGAGGTTAACTGTGGTCTATGGACATGAAAACTGACGGTGCTTTCTAATAGCGAAAAGTAACGAAGAGCGTGTTTCAGGTTTTCGCTCCGTCTTTAAATCCGGAAAATCTGCGGACCACATGCGAAAATTTTCTGTGGAAATCGTTGCTATCCGATGTTTCGTTTCTGTTTGCGCCTTCACAGGTCTGTTGAACTTGTCATGAAAGTGTGTAATAGCAAAATTCACTTGTGCAGATCGCCCTTGCAGCAATCTATCATGCTACTGAAGACAAAGAAGCGCTTATTAAGTATGGCATAATAATTAGTTTTTGCGTCTGTGATGTGAAATTACTTTTTACTCAACAGTTCTCTTATCGGGGTGATGTCTTTAATGAGTTCAATTGTCGAAAACCCCAAAACAGTACACAAAGATTTCATGCAACCTCACTTAGGACTGGCAGTTGTACCGTCCATCATCAGAGTCGCAGTAGCGAGGGCAAAAAGACAGTTATTTATACCACCACCAGCTTACTGCAGTTACGCTTTACGACGTGGATCTGTTACACTGTCATACAAATACGGTTATGCTAAGATTGAAGCGCGTGAACTTTTTCATAAAACCCCTATTATAATGTAATAAATGAAGAGATTACACTAAGTATGATTGTTATAGGTCCATTGTCGTAAAGCGGTTATCGTTGTAATTGTGTTAAGCTGAAGGCGATGTACAGTACCTTTTCTTTGCCCTCACTCAGTGTAAACCTGATGATGGAAATATCAGTACTTTCTGGAACATCGGTCTCTAGACAAAAATCTTTTCACTACTTGGAACTCCTCTCACCATGAAATAAAATCAATTATTAAAAAGATCATAGGCTTTCCTGTTAATAAAAGTATTTTGTTGTCGCTGAATCGGCAAAAAAATCAGCATCGGGCAGGTATATCTCTTGATTCCATGATTCAAGTAGCCTTGGCCTACTTAAATATTTCTCCCTACGCCACTGTGAGCATAAGGGCGGCGCAATGAATCACGAAATCTGGAGAATTCATGCGTTATTGATTCCATGATTTGCGTAATGATTGAAAAAAAGATCATTCGTGAGTTCTGCCATTCAGTATTTAGTTTTTGCCTCTGCGAATAACTCTGCTACACCACCTCCTTTCGAATAATAACTAAAGATAATAAAGCCCCAAGGTAGTTGATAAATTGTTTTAATTCCTCTAACGCACTTGGACATCGCCTACCAGCTTCGTCAGCAGAGTGCAATAAACCACGAAACAATTTCGAGATCTACTAAGAACAACTATGTATTGAATGAAAGAAGG